TTTTTATTTTAAAAAATTCTATATTAAAAATTCTTAAAAACCTTTGAAGATTTTCAAAGATTTTTCTGGAAATTTTTGAAAAATTTTTTTGGGTGAAGATCTTCAAAGATCTCCATCAAAAAAATTTCTTGATGTTGATACTTGGGTTTTGTTGTAGTCATCCCATTGTATTCTTCTTTCTTTTGTTAAGCAATCTTTAGCTAAATGAGAGGTTGCATCACAAATTGCGCATAGTTTAATAGTGATGAAAGTAAATGTAAATATGGTTTCTCTTAGTGTATATTGTGTTTCTACAGCCTTAAAAAGTTCTTCTTGTGTTTCGAAACTGATAACTGTGAATTTTTTGGATTTGTACTACCTGCTTGCTGATCTTGGGATGTAGCATATACATCCCTTGCTTTGTGTAAGAATATTCTTGAGATCCTGTGCTATTGTATTGGGTAAAAGATTTGTGAGTTTTGCTGCAATTTCATGTCTCTGTTTCATTTGTGTAAGTGATCATTTTGCATCATTAATTCTGACTGAGTCTCCTTTGATGAAAGTACTCCTCTCTGCTACTAATCTATTTTTGGCTTCTTGGTCTTCAAAAGTGATTATAGCATATTGCCACAAGTTTTGGGTTTTCATTGTGATTCCTTGAATTTGTCCATATCTGGAAAAGACTTGTTTCACTTCTATGAGTTTAATGTTTAAGGAAATGTTTCAAACCACTATGGAATTTTTCTTATTAATCTCTTGGTATTCTGTTTCCATGTGCTCTAGTCTCTTGTCTCCCATTTTAAGGATGACTATGGTTGTGACTTGTTATGCTGCTTGTTGATCTCCAAAAATGGTGATGATTTTCATTTTTTTGTTTTTCCCTTCTATGCATATTGTAAGAAGACCTTTTGAAGAGTTAAGTGCTAAGAGAATATGTTTCAGTTTTTGGTGTATTGTTTTTTCTTTGACTTGGCTTGTTAGGATGCCTATTTTAAAGTACTTTCTGCCATATTTTTGGGTTCTATCGAAAGGTGAGAATAGTTTGGGTTTGTTGAAATCTCTTGTCGTTTCTTTATTCTTGCTTTTGTTTTGAACTATGATTCATTTGTTTTCTATTGCAATATTTGAGTTTGTTTCCATCTCCTCGTTGGTGTCATCAATTCTTGATTCTCTTTTGTTTTTGGTACTGGTTTCAGTTTCTTGACTATGTTGGTGACTTGTTGAGGTTTCTTTCTCATTGTAATGTGTTTTGACATCTTGCTTCAGAAAGAAGAACTGTTGATTGTTTTTTGACTATTTTGTTGGTCTTGGCTTTGTTCTGTGCATGTTTGTTGTTCTGTCTCTTTCTCTGATTAAATTGTTTGCTGCTGTTAGAGTGTTTAGTGAGTAGTCAATAGTGCTGCTATTGGATTCTTTTTTCTAGATGTTGTGTTAGGCTTCTTTGCATAAGGTTGTGTTCTAGTAGAGATAAACTCTTTCTCTAATCTTTTTTTGTATCTTAAAGCTTGTTCTGATTTGTTGGGAAGGTTTGTTAGAGTCCATTGGCTCCTGTAGTTGTTGGATATCTTTCTTGTGAATGTTTTGTTTGCAACTTCCTAAAAAAGAAACTTTGAGATGTTTAAGAAAGAGTTTGATATTGATTAATTATAATTAATTATTAATGATTGTTAATAAATAATTTTCTAAAAAATAAAAAAAACTCTTTTTCATATACAACTTTTTTCTTAAAAAAATTTTTTTTTAGTAATTATTTTTTAAAATTAAAGAAACAAATATTTTTTTTATCTTTTAACATTCCAAAGTCCTTTATACATTCTTTACCTTCACTATAAAAACTTTAAGAAAATTAAAGAAGTATACCAATATATTAGAATAGAACCTCTGGTCAAAAAATGCAAGTTTAAAAATCTTGCTTTTTCTTTGGATTATACAAAAAATAATTTATGGCAGTTATTTCTTTATAAATCTTTTTTGGAGTTTTTCCTATTTTCATTTCTTACAAATAATTAATTCTTATTAAATAATCATATTTTTTTCTTAAAGATCTTTGTAAATCAAAAAACCAAATCACATATTAAAAATGTTTATATTATTGACTTGAAGAATTAATAATATATTTATTGTTTACTTCTTATTATTACCCAATATATTTTGTTATATCACAAAAAACAAAAAACTTTTTTTTTTAAAAAAATTTCATAAAAAAACCACAATCAGTTTATTTTTATCAATTAATTATTATCTCAATATCAATTAATCAATTATTATTAATTATTTAAACAAATTTATACTATCAAAACACTATATACTAATTAACATAAACAAAATTTTTTTTGGTAACAACTATTAAAAAAAAATCACATTATCAATAAAAAAACCAATTATACTATCAATAAACAAACCAATTACTAATTGTATTAATAAAATAACAATACAATCATCACAACAAATCAATTATTAAAGAAATATATTATTAACACTACTGTATACTTTGAATAGTAGTCTGGCTATTTGTGATAAATACATATATATTGTACTTCAGTTAAATGAAAAATCATTAAAGTAGTATACTTTTTCAAAGTATTTTTAGCTTTATAATAGTTTTTTTGCATCTATTTTTTTATTTAGTATTTTATTTCTTTTCTATTTTTTATAATCTTTTTATATATAAATCTAAGTAGGTATTTATAGTTGCTTGGCATTATCTTTGACAATATATTGATTTTAATATTTCTTTTCCTTTGCAACTTAAATAATTTACCATAGGCAAGTTAATATTAAACTCATTAATCAATTAATTATATAAGAGATATTGTTATTTTCTTCATATATAAATTTTTTTTTTAATTTTACAATTATAATAAAGTAACAATATATATCTACTTTAAAAAAAAAATAATAATAATTCTTTAAAAAATTTTCTGATAATATTAAATAGTAGTATATAAAGATAAGTAAAAAAAATTTCTTTAATTTAAAAATTGCTTATATAGGTTTTATTTAATAAAATAAATAATAATCTAAATAGATTTTTGTCTTTTTAAATATTTATTTTTTATAAAAAGTTAATTAGGTTTTTTGTATTTTATAATAAGGTAAGATAATTTTTTTTAAAAAAGAATATTTTTATTGACTATTTATTGTTTATATAATTATTAAAAAGAAAATTTTTTATAAATTGAAATATTGTGAAAAAAAGTTTTTTTTACTTAATTTATTTTTATTATTATTTTTTTTTTTTATAGTGAAACGTGCACAAGGTGCATGATCTTTATTGATATATTTATATATCCAGACAGACATTAAGTGTCTCTCTACAAATTAACCGGAAATCAATTGGTATATAAATACCCATTATGTCTCTACAAATTAATCTGCAGATTAACACTGCCTAGTGCCTATATTACTATAAAACTAGCTACACTAACCACTATTACCCAACTTATGTATTCATTTAAACACCATGTAGATGTGCCCACACGTTAGGTGAAACTTCTGCAGGAGGAGGAATCCTACCACTAGTTTAAACCCACCTAAACCTACTAAGTCCATTATTGCAGAGAGCAAGTTATTATGGAATATTATTATAGAGATTAACTCCAGTATTCCAGTCACTGTTATCGCTGATCCTCGAGATGTGCCACTAGCATAGCGCAGCACTACCGTTTTTCACCACCTGTGGAACTGGCATCCTTGCTTGGATTCCGATTTAATCTTGTAGATCCTCACTAGACTTACTTGGCTTAACGTTTGTCTAGTCTTCTCATCACCTGTGGCTGATACCTTGCCCTTCGGCCATATGATTATTACTTAATTTATTTTTTAAAACAAGTATTATTAAATTTATATATACTTTATTAAAAAATTAAATAAATTTTTTAGAATATTAAAATATTTAATTATAGTAAAAGATTAAATTAAATTATTTAAAAGATTCTTATAATTAAAATTTTTAAAAGTATTTAAAGACTTTAAAAAATTTTTTAAATAAATAAATAAAATATATAAAATATTAATTATAAGCTATTTTATATTTAAAAATCTTTAAAATAAATTAAATGTCTTTAAAATTTTCAGAAATATTTAAAATTTATTTAAGTTTTTATTAGATTTGTTACTAGATTCAACTATTAATCTATACTCATTAACATATTTAAATAATCTGAAAACAAAATAAAAAAATTAAACCAAGTAATAATAGATTTTTTAATAAAACAAACATTTATAATATATTTCAATTAATTTCATAATATTTTTTTTTTTTGAATTTTTGAACATCAGCTGGATTCATGCTTATTAACATTTGATACTGTGTACATATCACCAAAATGTATTATATAGAATTTAATATGTGTAAATAAAACTATATCTAAGTCTAATTTATGCTATCTAAACATATTGGTATGTTGCTGTCAGCTTATCCGAAGACAGAAGCTTGAGCTAACATGCCAAAAGTGGAAATAACATAATTATGTTACTTCCACTTAATTTAGGCTATTCCACGAGTATTTTGCATTTACCTCGTCAGAGATAAGTGGGAATAACCTAAGTATATAACTACGACATCGGATGACGTGCAGATCGCGTTTGACGTATAAAATATAAAACTCAAGTCACTTGAGCCTATCACCCAAATGAACACGAATGTTCTAGTATTCTTAGCTAGACAATCTTACATCACGCAAAAAAGTATATTGTTGGGCAAATCACATTACACCTTTATTTATTTTCTCAAAAAGAGATACATCGCAGTTACATAAGGTAGATAAAAAAAAATTCTAATGGGTAGGAGGATATACGAAAATGTGAATATTATCTGGATCAGGAGCCCTTTGGAAATATTTAGAAATTTCGATTGTTGGTTGCATGCTTCTTTCACCTTGGGGATGATTCATGCAAAGCTTGATTTTGGTGGAAGGAATATAATCAAATAGAGGTGACAACCGTTTCTTTACTATAGGTTTGAGCATGTCGACCTTTTTTTCCTTAGGAATTTCAATTACAAAAATTTCATTATCATCTTGGCTATTATTGATTCGGAGATTGAGACTATAAATTTCATTATAGCCATTCCTAAAAGAATTGAGTTGGGGTACATTATCCTAGAAACGTAATAAAAAAGGGAAAAATTAGTTTCAATCCATTCTATAGCGTATATACATGTATATGAATTATTAGAAAAGTTAACTTGAGGCTGTAATTGTGGTCGATGTTCCGGAATGCAATAAACAAAGTATTAAAAAAAACAAATTTTAACTTCACTATAAATCGGCATGATATAAATTAGTTACCTGAATTTTGTAAGTAGTATATTTATCCTTTTCTTTTTCTTTGGAAGGTAGGAAATTCATGATAGCATTATTGGGTCCAGGAAATGATTGTCCCTCAACGCGTTGGTAAAAGATTCCTGCATCATTTTCTGTATTGAAATGTATATGGCCATATGATTTACTCTTAGCTTTGAGAACATGAAAATCGTTTGTTTTAACTAAAGTTAAAGAACATCCTTAATTTGCTGACTAGTAACACCAGATAAGTCATCTTCACTTTCACTTCCTATAAAGACACATTGTTCAAGGGGACAACAAGATAGCTTTCGTTTCTTTTAATCTGAAGGAATAAGAAATGTAGGTGTGAGAACATAGACATAAACATAGAATATAACATAAACGTGAATGTTAACGTAAATATCAATGCGAATGTGAACGTGAATGTTAATGTGAATAATGTGAATGTTAATGTTAATGTGAATGTGAATGTGAATGTTAATGTGAATGTTAATGTTAATGTTAATGTTAATGTTAATGTTAATGTTAATGTTAATGTGAATGTGAATGTGAATGTGAATGTTAATTTTAATGTTAATGTTAATGTGAACGTGAATGTTAATGTTAATGTTAATGTTAATGTTAATGTGAACGTGAATGTTAATGTGAATGTGAATGTGAATGTTAATGTACGATCGATAGGGGAGGTATATAACCGATTCCTCCTGCAGAATCAGTAGATCATTTATAGAAACTTTCCTCCCACGCGAAAGACACGTTGATATAAACGTTAACACAAACGCAGATGAAAAACTTAGCCATGAATATAATTTCTCCACTTACTTTCTTCCATGTTTAGATTATTCAAGAAATAAATAAAAGTAAAGCAAAGGTTAATGGTCGATTTCTATTTACGCGATTGAAAATGTAATTTTAGACCGATACTATGAATAGATGTAACACGTGATGCAGATCCCAATTTTCGAATTATAAAGTATCGCACATAATATAAATTTACATATAAATTTAAACTAAAATTCATCATTTTTTTTTATTTTTCCAAACATTAAATGTTGATTGAAAGTCAAAATTTTCTAATTTTGATCCTTTTATTGAAATTTGCATGAACATATCTAAAGTATTATTATTAATAAAATTATGTGGATCAACTGTTGAAAATAGAATAATATAAATAATTCTAATTAATTGTAACAAATTTGAATAATTATTTAAATAATTTTGAATTAAAGAAAATATAGTCTTTATAAATTGTAATTAATAATTAATAATTATAATTTTTTTAAAAATCAATTATTTATTATAATAAGTTTTTATATTAAAAAATATTTTGTTAAAATAATTTACAAAAATTAAAAATTTTTTTTTTCAAATTTTAAAAATTTTTCTAATTTAATTAATGACTATTTTTTTGAATTAAAAATTTTTATTAATATAAAAAGTGAATTAACAATAAATTTTTATTAAATTTCTTTAATTAAAGTTGTTATATATTATAAATATTTATAAAAAAATTATTATAATCAAATAATAAATAATTAAGCTTATATAAAATCCAAATTTTTTTCTGATTCACTTGCATTTGTTAAAAATCACTATTTTAAAAAACATAAAATTTTTTACAAAAAAAAACTTTTAAAAATCTTAAAAAGTCATTTACATTTTTCAAAAATCAAGCAATTGAACCTTTACATACTCTTCTTAAGATACTTATTACTAATATAAACAAATACCTTGCAATTATTATTTACAAAAATATTAATATCAATATTATCTATATTATCTATTCGATTTCTATCATTAAACTTCTCAAGCTTACAAACCCTTCAAATGTATAGCTTATATTAATTCAAGTTCAAAAAAACAATCAAGAAATTTACAAAGTTTACAAAGTTATCTCAATATTATTTGAATCTCAAAAAAAAAAATTGGGAAATCACTATATTAAAGTTAAAGTAACACTTCCAGATCTAATGTCTCTTAATAATCTTAACTTGTTTTTTAATTATCAATATACATTTTTATTTTTAAATAAAAACTAAACAAGTATCTTTAAGAAAACAATAAAGCAAAAACTAAACTAGAACTTATATATCTTCTGAAACAAACTTAATATTGCTATTGATAAATTAGCAAAAAATTTTACCTTGAAATAAAAAACTGAAACATTCATATCTTCTTCAAACATATATATTTTTACTAGGAAAAAGATCAATAACAATACTATACAGCTTGATTGTATAAATGAACATCAGAAAATTTTCAGAGAAATCTTCGAAAATCTTCAAAGGTTTTTAAGAATTTTTAATATAGAATTTTTTAAAATAAAAAAACTCCAGAAAT